AAACTGGCCCTTTGTTTGGAAAGAGACCCCTGTTTTTTGAGATACTAAATCACATATCATCACAGTATTGCGCATCCCGGGCTACCTTACGTTTTCTGTATAGAGCAAAAATCTTCTGAGATATCAGGGTTCAAAGAGAGTGCAGGAACCTTTGTACACTATGAGGAATAAATAATAAACTAGTCAGTGATTGTGTTAACCACCATTCACCAGTTCCTGATAACCACTGTGTGTATCAAATATTCACCTGTGGATCAAGTATTGGGCTCCAACTCTCTACGTGGGGATGTTGAAAAGTAATTTAGTGTTTTTTAGTTCTGACATACGGATACATCAAGCTTTCTGTTTGTGAGGAACAGCAAGGAGGCTGTAGTGGGCGAGTCTTGTGGTGGTCTGGTGCACTATACTCTACCTTGATACATACCTGAGTGGATATTTTGGTCTACCTGTATGAATCTCTAGGCTGAGTACCTCAATGGAGTACCTTAAACCACTTCATCACTGCCCTCTATAATTCCAAATTAAGTCTGTGCTTTCTTAGCTTTAATGGAGGGCATACACATGCATAGTTTGATGGTTGTGCTGTATGTTTCTTTGCCTGTGCTTAAAAATTGTCAAAAAACCTTGACATGAAATGCTTTTAAACCCAAATAGCAAGAAGCATTTCAGTGTGTTATCTGGCCATGTGACCTTGGTCATATCTGTTAGACTTTGTATACACAGACTTTAGAAGGTAGCACTTGGCATGCGTTCCCTATGCTCACCAGAAGTTGTCAAACACCAAATCATGTACACTTGCTTGCTTTATACATCAAAAATCAATGAGGTATGCAGCATTTGGTACACATTTTATACTTCGGGTGCCACATATATGAAGCCTTTTAACCTCTCAGTCAAGTTGCAAACTTATCTGCAAACAATGAAAACCCCTACTCACAGCACTCTTTTCCTGTTTATATATAGTTTATTCCAGCACTAAAAGGAAGAAAAGAATAAAATGTACAGTTAGGGTTAAGGGCAATCTTGTATTCTAAAGTAAGTACATAAATACACTGAAAAGTTTATTTTACATGGGCTATCATGGAAAGATTATAGTATAGCAAGTCTGATATATTGCCACAATGTTAGAAAAAATTTAGCAACTTGAGAAATAAGCCATGCACCTCAAGTACTAAAAACTATACAATTCTTTAATAAAGTTAATGCATTTGGTGTTTTTTCATTAAAATAAAGAATTGGCAAATATTTTAAAACTGTGCAAAACACAAAAATACCTCTGCAAAATTTTACAAATTTATTTTAACCGCTTCCGTCCGCAATGTACTGCGGACAGGCGGCAGCTACAGGCAGAGCGTCGTATGGGTACATCATTCTGGCTGTACTAACACAGGGGGGTGCTGTACGCCCGAACGGGCTCCCCACCAGTGAACACGGTGTCCACCAGACACAGAGGAATGAAGATCCCGATGAACATGTGATCGGTATGTGCTTTGTACAGGTGAATCTGAGAATTCAGCCGCCAGTTCCACCAGCTGACCATAGAGCTGATCGGAGATCAGAATGGCTCTAATAATCTCTATGGTCTAATAAATTGGAAGCTACAAGCATTTCATCATTTCCATTTTTTGGATATTAACAGCGCCATTTTTAAATTGGGAAAGCAGCTGATCACACCGATCTTGGTGTGATCAGATGTTTTAAGGGCAGAGGAGAGATCTAGAATCTAATAGACCCCAGACTTCTCAGAAAAGAGTACCTGTCATTGCCTATTGCTATTACTGGGGATATTTACATTCACTGTGATAACAATAAAAGTGATTAAAAAAAAGGAAAGGGACAGTGTAAAAAAAAAAAAATTCAACCCCTCCCCATTCTCATGCTCGTGCACAAAGGCAAATGCAAGCGTAGGTTCTGTGTTGGTATGTAAACAGAGTTTGCAGGATGCATGTGAGGTATCACCACTAATGTCAGATCATGGGCAGTAATTCTAGCACTAGACTTTCTGTGTAAATATAAAGTGGTGACCTGTAAAGGCTTTTTAAAGTGTTGACTATCGATACTAGAAATGTACGTAGTTTGTTGCTGTTGCACAGGCATGCACAATTTTAAAGCATATCATGTGTGGTATCTAATTACTTGACGTAGCATCATCTTTTATATTTTATCAAACAATTGGGCAGTATATTGTGTTTTTGTACATTAAGATTTAAAAAACGTGTTTTTTTTTTCTCAAAAAATTTGCATTTGAAAAATGGCAGCGCAAATACTGTGTGACATAAAAAAAATTAACACCCACCATTTTATGCTCTAGGGCCATAGCTTTTAAATATATATACTGTGTATATATATATATATATATAATGTTTGGGGGTTCAACATAATTTTCTAACAAAAAAATGTTTTTTTATGTAAATAAAAAAGTGTCAGAAAAGACTTGTTCTTCAAGAGGTTAGGAGAGTGGGTGATGTGCGGCATGAGCTTCTAATATTAACCCTGAAATACCAGGATAGTAGAAGCACCCCCCCCCCCCCAAATGATCCCTTTTTGGAATATAGATCCTCCAAGGTATTTGCCAAGGGGTATGGTTAATATTTTGCAGATCTCATTTGTTACCACAAGTTTAAGGAAAATCAAGACAGAAGATAAAACGTATATTTTTTTTTTTTTTTTTTTCAAAACCCTGTGACAAAATTGATATCTGAAAAATACTCACCATGCCTCTTCCTTGGAGTGTCTACTTTCCAAAAAAAATGTCATTTGTGGTGTGTTTGTATTATTCTGGCATTTTAGGGCCTCTGAAACTGTGATAGGTGAGGAAGTGACTTGAGGAATTATGCCCTTTTTGAAAGCCTGAAAGTGGTCATTGTATTTTGGGGGCCTGTGTGTGAATAGGCTGCCAAAAAGTCTCTCACATGTAGCAAAATGTGTTTTGGGGTATTATTAATATATAGCCATGGCATACGTGACCAATATATCATTTAAGTGACAACTTTGTGTATAAAAAAAATGTAATTTTCCAAATATTTGTGGCAAAAAATAAAATCTTTCATGGACTCAACATGCATCTTAGAAAATTCCTTGGGGTGTCTACTTTCCAAAAAGGAGTCATTTGGTTTTTGCACTGCCCTGGCATTTTAGCACCTCAAGAAACGTGATACGCAGTCAGAAAGTAAAAGCTACGTTAATTCCAGTATCTATACAATAGTTTGTAGACGCTATAACGTTCACGCAAACCAATTAATATACACATATTGGGATTTTTCTTACCTAAGAAATTAACAGAATACATTTTTGGCCTAAACTTATGACTAGCTTTGAGTTTATTCCATTTTTTTTATACCTGCAAGTAGAAAATATCTTTTGTTTTCAAAATTTTCAGACTTTTTTAGTTTAGATCACAAAAAATGTAAAAACCCAGTGGTGATCAAATACACCAAAAGAAAGCCCTATTTGTGTGAAAAAAAAGGACAACATTTCTGTTTGGGTACAGAGTCGCATTACGACACAATTACCAGTTGAAACAGCGCAGTGCTGAATAGCAAAAAAATGGCCTGGTCAGGAAGGGGGGTAAATTTTTCGTAGAGCAAGTGGTTACTTGAAATACTTAAATTATATCTTTATTTGGCAATGCAAATTTAGAACTATTTAGGGATTGGTATACTGAGATCAACACAGAAAGAAAAGGGGAAACAGAAAAAAGCATTCTAAGAGTTCGAGGAAGGGAAAATAATAGTAAATAAGGAACAAGATGAAAAAGAAGATACTAGCAGGCCAATGTTTTATACTACAAATATTGATTCATACCTTTTACTTTTATTTATTAGCCATAAAAAGCCTTTATCTGGTTTAGTTTAGGTTTTGTTATTGAGGACTGAGTTTCCTCTCCACCCACAGCTATCCTACTGTTCACTAACACAGCCCAAGGGCCCAGCAATGTAGTACATCTCATTTCATACGGTAGCTACATAGTTACATAGTTAGTCTGGCTGAAAAAAGACAAAAGTCCATCCAGTTCAACCAATAAAAAAAATAAAATAAGCTGCCTAACAAATGGTTGTTAGCTTATGTGAGCAATTCTCAGGTTCTTGCTTGTGCTGGCCCCCTTGAACTCAGCCTGCCTTGACCTTACTATAGCACCTAGCTACATGTTGACTCCCTATTTGTTTTACTATAATTATCCTTGGAAATTAAATGGTTTCTTCTAATTACTCTTCTGTCTCATTTGTGTCACAATTTACACCTGGCTGGATTTGAATTTTTTTAGTTTACCACTCTCTGCGAATGAATGCTCCTTTTTTAGGTTTTAGCTCAGTTTGAACTCATCCCTTGTATTATATTACATTTTTATAATAATATATTCCTGCAGCTATCAGTCTGTACAAACTGAAGTGAAGTTTGTTCAAAAAAGAGGCTGGTCTCTATTTATATACAGCATACTGTATCTACAGGTTTTATTTGTTTTCATGGACAGGATGCTACAGTATGGCTATGGAGAGATATAGGTTCAGCAACATCTTGGTTGTCTGCCAGTAACGTCATAGCTTCCCTTTTCCTTAAGTAAGAACATTAAAGCTGAGCGCCATGATAAGGAAATATCACATGAATACAAAAGACATATACACTACTCAAAAGAATTAACCACTAGCCTACAGGGCACTTATACCCCCTTCCTGCCCAGGCCAATTTCCAGCTTTCAGCGCTGTCACACTTTGAATGACAATTGCGCGGTCATGCAACACTGTACCCATATGACATTTTTATCTTTTTTTTTGTGACAGATCTTTATTTTGGTGGTATTTAATCACCTCTGGGTTTTTATTTTTTCTTAAACAAACCAAAAACCACTGAAGAGTTTGAAAAAAAAGTTTTTTTCTTAGTTTTTGTTATAAAATTTTGTAAATGAGTAATTTTTCTCCTTCACTGATGTGCGCTAATGAGGCTGTAGTGATGGGCACTGATAGGCTGCACTGATGGACACTGATAGGTGGCACTGATGGGCACTGATGAGGCACTGGTAGATGGCACTGATGGGCATTGACAGGCATCACTGATGGACACTGAAAGGCAGCACTCATATATGTCACTGATAGGCAGCACTGATAGGCGGCACTGACTGGCACTGTTAGGCGGAACTGATAGGCGGCACTGATGCACACTGATAGGCAGCACTGACTGGCACTGATTGGCAGCACTGATAGGTGGCACTGATTGGCAGCACTGATAGGTGGCACTGACTGGTACTGATGGGTGACACTGAAAGGCAGCTCAGATGTGCACTGATATGTCACATTGATGTGGCACTGATGTGCACTGAAATATGGCACTGATGTGGCACTAGCGGGTGGCATAGATAAGCACTGACAGCTGGCACTGCTGGGGCTACACAGATCATCAGGGTACACTGTGTACATGTCCCCTCTGAGGGATGCCGATTACCGGCTCTCCACTCTTCACGAGCTGTCAGCGTGACAGCTCGTGAGGACACAATTGCCGATAACCGGCATTTCCCTGTTTACATGTGATCAGCTGTGATTGGACACAGCTGATCACATGACCGAGCCGACATCTTTGGCTCTTTCCATTGACTGGTGATCCACTGTGTCCGAGTGACACAGTGCACCGGCGATCGCCACGCTGAGCGCTCCCGGAGCCGCGCATGCGCGGTTTAGAATTGGAGGATGTCATATGACGTCCTCCCAGAACAACAGAACTGCCTTGCGCCCGTCATTGTATTATATGGCGGGCGGGAGGCGGTTAAAGGAACACTTTGAAAACACATCAGATCTCAATGGGAAAAATATCATACTGGATATCTATACTGATATGGACTGGGTAATGTTTTAGGAACGTAAGGATGCCTCATAATTTGATGGAAATGAAAATTATCAACCTACAGAGGACTGAATTTGAAGACATCCCAAAAATCAAAGTGAAATAATGATGCAGCAGGCTGGTCCATTTTGCTGAAATTTCATTGCAGTAACTCAGTAGTTTGTATGGCCCCCATTTGATTGTATGCATGCCTGCTAATGTCGGGGCATGCTCCTAATGAGACGACAGATGGTGTCCTGGGGTATTTCCTCCCAGATCTGGACCAGAGCATCACTGAGCTCCTGGACAGTCTGAGGTACAACCTGGCAGCATCGGATGGACTGAAATATGATATCCCAGAGATGTTCTATTGGATTTAGGTCAGGCAAGCATGGGGGGGGGGGCAAATTCAATAGTATCAATTCATTCATCCTCCAGGAACTGCCTGCATACTCTCACCACATGAGGCTGTGCTTTGTCATGCACCAGAAGAAACCCAGGACTTACTGCACTAGTGTAGGGTCTGACAATGGGTCCAAGGATTTCATACTGATACCTAATAGCAGTCAGGGTGCCATTGTCTAATCTGTGCGTTCCTCCACGGATATGCCTCCCCAGACCATCACTGACCCACCACCAAAATGGTCATCCTGAACGATGTTACAGGCAGCCTAACATTCTCCACGGCTTCTCCAGACCCTTCCAAGTCTGTCACATGTGCTCAGGGCGAACCTGCTCCCATCTGTGAAAAGCACAGGATGCCAGTGGTGGATCTGCCAATTCTGGTGTTCAATTGCAAATGCCAATGAAGCTCTATGGTGCCGGTCAGTGAGCACAGGGCCCACTAGAGGATGTCAGGCCCTCAGGCTACCCTCATGAAATCTTTTTCTGATTGTTTAGTCAGAGACATTCACACCAGTTGCCGTCTGGAGGTCATTTTGTAGGGCTCTGGCAGTGCTCATCCTGTTTCTCCTTGTACAAAGGAGCAGATACCAGTCTTGCTGATGGGTTAAGGGCCTTCTATGACCCTGTCCAGCTCTCTTAGAGTAACTGCCTGTCTACTTGAATCTCCTCCATGTTCTTGAGACTGTGCTGGGTGATAAAGCAAACCTTCTGGCAATGGCACGTATTGATGTGCCATCCTGGAGGAATTGGACTGCCTGTGCAAGCTCTGTAGGGTCCAGGTATCGCCTCATGCTACCTGTAGTGACACTGGCTCTAGCCAAATGCAAAACTAGTGAAAAAAAGTCAGAAAAGATAAGTAGGGAAAATATGTCAGTGGCCTCCACCTGTAAAACCATTCCTGTTTTGGGGGCCGTCTCATTGTTGCCCATCTAGTGCACCTGTTGTTAATTTCATTAACACCAAAGCAGCTGAAACTGATTAACAACCCCCTCTGCTACTTAACGGACCAGATCAATATCCCAGGAGTTGAACTGACTTGATGCTATACTCTGATTAAAAACTGTTCCTTTAATTTTTTTGAGCAGTGTATTTTTACTTGAATCTATGCTATGTACAGAACAGTGGTGGTGTCACTGCTACTTTTGCAAGGTAATATCTGGAGCAGATATTCAAAAATATAGATATACCAATTTAATATTTAGGTGGGGTAACCTATTAATAAACTCAAAGATTGCACCTAATGATCATGATTATGCATATCTAGCTATATACTTGGCTAATTTTTTGTCTTACTGCTATCATTGTATATGCAGGATACATATGTTTATTACATTAAGACTTGTGATACACGGCTGAATTTTGGCTATTCTTGCTAATATACTGCTGTATATCTCAACCAGTCAAAGTGAATACCACTAGAAAATATTTAAATGTTGCAATCTGGATTGCTTGTCTTTCAATGTTTTTAATGTGTATTCAGTGATTGTACATGTCAGCATCCATGGATATTACCTTTTCTCCCTAAAAGGGAATAATAAAAATATGTGATTTTACATATAAGCTAAATATCTTGGGTGTTTATTACTTATAATTACAATGTGAAAATGATATCCTGAAACACCCTTACACCTATACTAATTCGAAATTGGAAAAAACTTTCAACCCTTGAAAGCTTGAACTCAAATAAATAGGTCCAAAGAGAATCTACCCTCTTTAAACAAATAATCTACCTATATGTGCAACAACAAAATTATCCCCATATAATTATATGCATAAACTAACACAAAATCATAAAGTCCAGTGTCTCATTGATCCAAAACCAAATCATAAAAGTCCAGTGTCTCAATAAAGAATAATAGAAAAAAAGTTGTATTTCTTGCAGTGTTGATTGTGAAAAAACCTCAAAAATAAAGAAACTCACAATAGTGCATTACCATAATATAATCAGAAGAAAGAAAAAAAAAAAAAAAAAAAAATTATATTATATTATATATACACATACATGCACACATAAATGTGTATCATAAAATTGTGCAACTTTTAAGTGATATAAAATAGTGAAACACTTGTGAAAACCTTCCAAAAAAGGTAATGAAACACTCGTGCTCAAAAAATTATAAAATCCTGAAGTGATCCACTCAGTGAGATTCCTACCCACACGTGACACTTCTAGTGAGTAAGGCCAATATACCCTTACCAACAGTAGAAAGAACCCACGCCTTGCTCATATATTATGTAGAAATCCTCCAAAGGAACTTTATCCTCCTCTCCTCCTTCACTTTTTGTTAGGGTAATGTTAAAATGTCATTCACATTCATAGGTCTATAAAAGCATGACGTACCTCCATATATATTCAGAGTAATATCATTTTAATGAATCTGCTTGCATATTAAATTAAAAATAAGCGGTTTGGACAAACCCCACTCTGTGGGGATTACCAGGCAGTTCCCACAGTTTCCCAGGCAGTTCACACACGAATATCCAGCGATTCCCCAACAAAGATGGCCGCTGTGACACTTCCGGTTCCTGCTCCTTGCGTATAACGTCACTTCCTCTTGACGCGTTTCGTCACATCCGGGACTTAGTCATAAGAGAGAGATTACTTATTATTACTTACTTCGGTAGTTGGCTCATGGCAACTACTACTCCTTTTGCTAATATCTGGAGCAGGCACGTCTTCCCTTCCCATACCTGTCTTCTAGTGTATCCTCTACAGCAGGGTCTCCAAACTTTCTAAACAAAGGGCAAGTTAACTGTCCTTAACTGTGGCCAGTCGGATTAGGAAGTGGCCATGGCGTCGGTGGGTTTAAAATATGTCTCCTCATTGGCCTTAATGAAAGGAATAGTGCCCCATTGTTGGTATTTAGCGGAGGAATAATGCCCTATCATTGGTGTCAGTGGATGGAATGGTGCCTCAAGGGCCAGATAAAGGCAAGCCAAGGGCCACTTCCTGCCCATGGAGTGCAGTTTGGAGACCACTTCTCTACATAATTATTTGAGGCAAGCTAAGGTAGATGATGGCATATTACACCACTGTTGTCAAAAGCAAAATTCACCAGCACCCAATTCACTGCCCAACTAAGGGACCAAATTAAAACCTGCTTCAAAAAGCTTAGGTTGTAAATATATATAGAAAGATATGTTATACCAAGAGAAAGTTAATCTCACACAGTAGCTGGTGAACTGTCATGTACAGTTATGTTCAAAATAATAGCAGTGTGTTGAAAAAAGTGAATAAAGCTCAAAATCCTTCTAATAGCTTTTATTTCCATACACACAAATGCATTGGGAACAGTACACATTCTATTCCATATCAAAACATGAAGAAAAATATATCAAATTTGTGTTGTTCCTCTAAAAAAATTGAAGAAAAGTGAATATTAGACTGTTCAAAAAAATAGCAGTGTTTGTATTCTTCTTTACAAACTCAAACATTCACTATATAAACTGAAAAATGTTTGAAGATTTTGCTTTCCTTTGAATCACCTAATATTTAGTTGTATAAGCACTGTTTCTGAGAACTGCTGTACATCTGTGTTGCATGGAGTCAACCAACTTCTGGCACCTGTGAACAGATATTCCAGCCCAGGATGATTGGACTACATTCCACAGTTCTTCTCTATTTCTTGGTTTTGCCTCAGAAACTGCATTTTTGAGGTCACCCCACAAGTTTTCTATTGGATTAAGATCCGGGGATTTGGCTGGCCACTCCATAACGTCAATCTTGTTGGTCTGGAACCAAGATGTTGCACGTTTACTGGTGTGTTTGGGGTCGTTGTCTTGTTGGAACACCCATTTAAAGGGCATTTCCTCTTCAGCATAAGGCAGCATGACCTCTTCAAGTATTCTGATGTATTCAAACTGATCCATGATCCCTGGTATGCGATAAATAGGCCCAACACCGTAGTATGAGAAACATCCCCATATCATGATGCTTCCGCAACCATGCTTCACTGTCTTCACGGTGTACTGTGGCTTGAAATCAGTGTTTGGGGGTCGTCTGACAAACTGTCTCCGGCCACTAGACCCCAAAAAGAACAATCTTACTTTCATCAGTCCACAAAATATTGCGCCATTTCTCTTTAGGCCAGTCAATGTGCTTTTTGGCAAATTGTAACCTCTTCAGCAAATGTCTTTTTTTCAACAGTGGGACTTTACGGGGGCTTCTTGCAGATAGCTTGGCTTCACATAGGCGTCTTCTAATTGTAACAGTACTCACAGGTAACTTTAGATCTTCCTGGAGCTGATTGTTGGCTGAGTCCTTGCCATTTTGACTATTCTTCTATCCATGGTAGTTTTTCGCTTTCTTCCATGTCTTTCAGGTTTTGGTTGC